ATTTTCCCAAATAAAACGGTGATCTACGGATCGGATATTTTCCAAGTATATATATATATATATACTTCGTATATACTAATAAATATTTCATAACTTGGGGGAAAAGACTATTTATATAAGTATCACCATATGTTCGGGTCTTATACTTGAAACGCTAGTTATTCTATATTTAGCCTGCTACTCGCTCAGTACTTGTACTGACCCCTTCGGGGGGGCCCACCATTTTCAGGTTGAAGCTAGGGCTTGCTATCTGCACCTTCTTACGGGTGATATCAACTTCAAGAAGACGTGGTTCATGCTTCCTTATTTTCTTTCAAACTACCGAACACATGCTCATGGATGTTTGTTTTACTATAAACTATTTTTGGGGCTTGCATGCCCATGTTGTTGGCCGGTTGTGGCTTATGACTTACCATTGAATATTTCCGCTATTCATTGGTTTAAATGTGATGTTGTTATGTATGTTTACTACTGAGTATGGATGGATTATTTTCTCGAACGCCTTGTGTAATTAAGTGAGGTTGACTCGCGGGTGACGTCACTTAATTATACGGCGGTTGTACACGCGCTTGGATTGCGGTCTGGGGCGTGACACATATCATCAGTATCAAATGAGCATATGTAATTTGTAAAATGAGCATTGATATGAAAATTGTAAGTTTTGTCCGTTGAACATCAAGAAATTTATATCGAGTATCAAACATCATCTATTGAGTATTAGAAACATGCAATTGAGTATCATGATTTGTACACTTGTGTATATAATCAATTCATAAGTGAATATAATGCAATATGGTACTTTTGAATTATGTATTGATATAACATTTTAAAATGAGCATAACACCAGTACCAAATGAACATACATAACTTACAAAATGAGAATTGAAATATGTAAAAGCTCATTTGTGCATGTCATTCCTTATAGACGTTATACTCATTTGAGTTTAACATCAAACTCATTTCTAATGTGCCCAATATTCATATGTGTATGATCATTCTTTTAGGTGTTATATTCATTTGAGTTTAACATAAAACTTATTTCTATAATATGCAGATGTGATAGATTTATTATAAAAATTTGTTGATTCGTCATTTATGAGTCCTGCGACAAGCGGCAGTGTTGAAAGACAAGCAAGTGATGGCGGCAATGGACGACCAACAAGTGATGGTGACGTTGGACAGCCGGCAAGGAAAGGCAAACTTCTCCGGCTATAGCTGCGACGAGAACCGCCAAAGCTCAAGAGGATAGATCTACTGATGTTGTGCGACTCGTACACCGTGGATTTCCGATTGACCGAGTGGTGATGATGATAATGAAAGACGGCGACAACAGATTCCATCTTGAAGAAGAAAACGATCAGCAAAAAATAAGTATGGGCATATGCCTACACACGATTTAGAGATCAGAGGTGGAAGTTTTATTGAGAGTCTGAAAGTTTCTACATGTTACAAAAATACTTGGTTGTATCATGCTCAAAGTACAACCGAGTGTATCTTATAGTTTGCGCATTCACAATGACATGTTTCATGGGACAGAAGGGGGTGGCACGACGATTAAGAAAAGTGGATTTATTTGGTTGATATTAATTGATAAAGTAATAATATAGTATGAATAATTTAGAGCCACACAAACTTTATCAAATTTAGTATGAGACGATTTCAATGGGATTTTCCGAAAAAATAAAATGAGACAATATTAGCGGGACGGAAGGTATATCTAAGTCGGAAGTAGGTCTAAATTGTAAAAGCTGGAGCCTGATATAGTTTATTACCGGTATAATGATATAATCGGAACTAGGTAAACTATTTTACGTGATACAGTGTAAACTGTTTTAGAAAAGTGTCCTACAATTTACATCAAATTATTAAAACAAACGGTATAAAATGTTTACTTCCCCACACTTGCATGCAATTGATGCAAAGTACTTACTTTGCATCATACCAAACAGGCCCTAAGAGTGACATAGAAACAAGTACTGACATTAAAATATGACAACGGCATATGTTTTTCTAAATTTATTACTAGTACTCGTATCTCTTGAGTTTTTTTCCGTATTAATGCTGATTAATTAAGTATTTACGAAAATAGGGTTGGGTTAAAAGTATTTCCGGATATACTGCTGGGCTTAACCCTGGTCGGGGTAAGTCGCCAAACCGTTTGGCGACTTATAAGTCGCCCAACCGGATGGCGGCTTATAAGTCGCCCAACGGTTTGGCGACTTACCCATAAAAAAAAGAGGGGCAAAATTGTCTTTTGAGACCTGCTAAATTTTACGACTATCGTGTCCGCAGGTCGCCCGCGCAAGGGGGGTGCGAATTTTTTATTCTGAACTAGAAACCGGAATTCTTGTGTGCGCGAGAGCTCCCCTCTTCTCATTCACCTTTTAATACTAAGTGAAGAGTGGTTCATATTTATAGGCTCAAAAATTCCCAAGGAGTTTAGGTGTGGAAAAGTTTAAAAGATTCTTTTTTCTCCTGTGCTTGAGAAGATCATTTTTTCCATCTACCTTCTTTAAGAGCTAGTTTTTGAGCCACTTCAAAGTCCAAAACTCCAACACCAAAGTTCAACACTACAATCAAAGCTTCCAAGAGTCAACCTTGAGATTAAAAAAAATCAAGGTTAAGACTATTTTTCTCAAACTCCAAGCTACATTTCAAGGTTCAGGAATTTGCAGAAAATTTCAATGAAAATAAACTCTTTTAATTTACATTAGGTTTGAAAGTTCATAAACCACCAAGGCGTGAATATACATGAAAATAAACTCCTTTAATTTATCAAAAACTAACAATGATGCAGTTAGTAAGCATTGAAGTAAACATATTTTACTCTTGTTAATTGGTTTATCGAAAACTAACGATGATTATATGAAAAAATAAACTTATTTGGTGAGGGAAAAGAAAATACCAAAAATTTCCAAGACATGGATTTGATTCCCACTTTGTAAGTTCCCTTTTATCATGACATCCATGAAACAAACTGAATAAGCCCAGAAGAGCACGCTTCTTCTCCTATAACAAAAACTACCTTTTTCATTATATCATATAATGAAAAAGGTAGAAAAATGGAGTTCAAAAGGTAGAAAAGGGCAAAACTTTCAATCTAGACATTCAATCAGTTTTAGAGTGCGTTTGGTAGCGTCAAAAACGGCTGTTTTGGCTGATTCTGCTGAAATATATGAAGTTCTGGCTGAAGTGGCTGCATTGACTGATTCTGCTGATTTAAGAAAAAAAATATTTTTAAAATATATTTTATTAATAAAATAAAGAAAAAATTATATGTAAAAATAGCTAAAATGGTCATCTACAGTAACTTCATCCAATACAGCCATTATTTGTCTCATTAAAGTAGACGTCGTGATTATTTGTTTGTCTCATTATAGTAGACATGATTATTTGTTGACTGTCAGATTTGCTTATCTCAGACTCATCAGAAACTTTAGCGCATTTGTTCTTACACATTGATGAGTTAGAGACATCCATTGTTGAATGTTGAATATTGACCGTAGACGTGAGGCTGGTTGAAATTTTCTGCAAATTCTTGGACCTTGAAATGTAGCTTGGAGTTTGAGAAAAATAGTCTTAACCTTGGTTTTTTTAATCTCAACGTTGAATCTTGGAAGCTTTGATTGTAGTGTTGACCTTTGGTGTTGGAGTTTTGGACTTTGAAGTTTGAAGTGGCTCAAAAACTAGCTCTTAAAGAAGGTAGATGGAAAAATGCTCTTCTCAAGTATAGGAGAAAAAGGGATCTTTTAAACTTTCCCACACCTAAACTCCTTGGGAATTTTTGAGCCTATAAATATGAACCTCTCTTCACTTAGTATTAAAAGGTGAATGAGAACAGGGGAGCTCTCGCGTACACAAGAATTACGGTTCCTAGTTCAGAATCAAAAATTCGCACCCCCCTGCGCGGGCGACCTGCGGACACGATAGTCGTAAAATTCAGCGGGTCTCAAAAGACAATTTTGCCCCTCTTTTTTTTTTTTAGTTTAACCCGGTTTTTTAATTTATGGGTAAGTCGCCAAACCGTTGGGCGACTTACCCCGACCAGAGTTAAGCCCAACAGTACATAAAAGGAGTGTTTGCAGTTGATTAAAAAAAGCATTTTTCAGCTTTTGGCTTAAAAAAAGTTAAAAAGAGTGTTTTCAAATGACAGCTTCTGCTTAAATTAATCACTTAAAAGCTAAAAGCTGGAAGCAGGTGGAAGGCTGCTTTAAACTGCTTTTCACTTTTTCTATTACACAAAAAGTACTTATTTTACCAAACACTACCAACTTTTACTTTTTCAGAATCACTTTTTTCTCAAACACTACCAACTTTTACTATTAATCACTTTTCTCCCAATCACTTTAAAAAATCACTTTTTTAAAATTGAAGCAATTGCAAACACTCCCAAAATTAGTTACTCCGTACTTTTTTAAAAATGAATATCGGTTTAGTAAAAATCTTACTCCCTATTTGAATAGTAAATTTAAAATCATTATTTTGAGTTTTTCCTTTTTTGGGCAATCATTATTTTGAGTTGATATTTCATACTGCGAATTCAAATTTCAAACATTTTTTTGGTTAAAGGGTCAAATAGGCCCATGAACTAGCTTAAAGTGTTCAATTAGCTTCTTATATAGGAGGTTCAGTCCGACTATCGCCAATTGGTGAGGCTCCCGATGAATTTTTTTTACCATCTTCCTCATTAAGTCTAGTTTACCCAAATCAAATTTCAGCTAAAAATTAAATTGGGAAGTCAGTCAAATGATTTTCCCAAATGTACTGAGCTGTTTAAATGCGCAATTGTCTTCAAAAAATCATTTGACTGCCTTCCCGGTTGAGTTTTTAGTTGAAATTTGGTATGAATAAACTAGACTTAATGAAGAAGATGCTCAAAAAATTTCATATAAAAAATCTATCGGGAAACTCCCCAATTGGAGACGGCCGGGCAGAACCTCCTATATAATGGATTAATTAAACATTTTAAACTAGTTCAAGCGCTTATTTGACTAGCAAACTTTTTTTTGACAAAATTCAAATTTCAAACTAGGAAGGGTTGCCTGTCAGGTCTAAATTCACAAGGGGAAGCATGTTAACTTGGTATTCTTCGTTAAACGCGATTCATTTCTAAAGAAATTCTTACAATGGGTTGTTAGGTTTTTGGAACTCGTAAATTTTATATCCGGAGGAAGGCCTTCCTGCACTTCAGTCTTTTGCACCTCGGATCAGGGAAGGCATAGGGCACATCCGTTAAGGCTGATTCTATCCGAAGTTAATAACCCGACTTTGAGCCTGAGCTCTGCTTCCCTGAGTGGAGTGTCTTTTGGAAGTTCCTTCCAGAATTCTTATAAGGTATCAATTTTCTTCCTTCTCTGTTTCAGACATAAGTTGGTGTGTTATGAATTGTTCTGCCATTGTTTGTTTTAGGAATGTCTTTGATTTAAAAAATAAAATCATATATGTATCTGAGTTGAACTGAGATGAGTAATATTTATTATACAAATATTTTCTTTAAAAGAATAATAGAAAACACTGAAATGATAAGGATGGAGTATAATTGTGTAACATAGTTAGACTGTTATCCTCTGTACTAACTTTAATCGACTCATGAAGTTCTCTAATCAGTATACCCAAACCTCCATATTTCTAGTTGCATCATCAATGACGAAACAGGATTCCCCTGATTTGGATAAGAGAAGATGGAGGAAGCTATGTGATGCCATGGAGTGCATGGTGAGAACGCAGCATGCACAGCTAGATTACCTTCTTCAAGAACGAAAAATTCTTCAAGACAGGATCGCATTAGAAAATGAACGATGGGTTTCTGATGTTAAACTATTGCAAGGTGAAATTGATCAGGTAAGTATTTACAATTTTTGGTGTTCCGTTCAATAGAGTAAGGGTTTTGTGTGTGAGATCAAGTTGAATTTGATGCTTTGATTATTGTGGGGTTGTTTTTGAATTTCTTTCTACAGATGAGGGACGAGTTGACAGCTCGTAAGGGGGAGAGTGTGGCAGAGGCTGCAGAATGGGAAGTGATTTTAGGAATCAAAGAGCTAGATATTTTTTTGCTTAAAGATAAATGTGGTTAGTGTTTTCTAGATTTGCTCCACTCAAAAAATAATAATCTTTACTAGTTTGCTACAAAGGAAATGATAGGAGATTGAAGAAAATGACATGAATATAATTTTGTAATAAAGTTTCAATTTTTTTTTGTCTCGAGCTACTTGAGAAGAGAACCTCAGAATCTATTCACAATGAATTTTTTTTTAAAGTTTCAAATTGAAGAAAATGACATATAATTTTGTAATAAAGTTTCAATTTTTTTTGTCTCATTATCATGTTTGTATTGCCTACACAATGCAGAAAAAACTTCTTGTGAGTTGAAGGATCTCAGAAAATGTATTGAAATCCAGTCTTCTAAAAGCCCCAGGAACAAAGTAAGTTCTTTATAATATTTCTTGTACATTTAGTTTGACTAGCATTATGTTACATGTATGTTTAAAGGTTTTTTGTTGTTTTGAAGGGTGATTCTGAAAAAATGATTGAGGGGGTGAAGAACAGTTCATCAGAGAGCGAACTAAGGAGGCAGACGCATGAAAGCCGACAGCTTTTAGCTAAGAAAGACATCGAGATCTCAAAGCTGGTGGCTGAAAAGAGCTTTGTGTGGAACCAATATAACAAACTTGAAAATGATACAAGTGAGCAATTGAAACAAAAACGTATTGAGCTTGATATAGTGAACAAGAAGATGGAGTCACTTGTGAAAAAGATCGAGGAATTGCGAACGTCCAACTTAGATTTGAAGGATCAAATTTCAAAAATGGAAGTTGTATATGTTAATCAAAATCTTGAGATATCCAGGCTTTCCAGTGAACTACAATCATTGAAGAACAATAATGACCATGCAACGCCTAAGCTGAAACCTTGCTCAACTAGTTTAGGGCCTTCGATGATAGAGAGCCCTGGGATGAATGGGAAGAGTGTGATACCTAGAACGGTTGCAGTGAAGAAACCACCAGCCCCTGTGAAGGTCTCATTTGCTTTGACTTTTTTCTGAATGGATTTTCCTTGCTTGAGTTGCTCCAAGTGCACTATTTTTTTTACGGCTCCACTTATTAAGATGAGATATTTTCCGGAGTCACTCTCCCGGGTTTCAAATTGAGGTTGTTTCTTAGCAACCTCAATTTGCTTTAAAAGTAAATTGAGCTTTAGTAAAGCTTTTTTAATACTCCGTAGTATTATGTTGTACATAGTGACTTTCTCTTGCTTGCATGGTAGAATGTCAATATAAAATGCAAACACATTCCATGTATTAAAATTCATGCTATAATAACTTATTTAAGTTGAACTTTGAACAGAGAACTGGGAACTCAAAGAGGAAGGTAATGGATGACACCTCGGAACTCAAATGCTACGCAACTAGGTCCAGGACCTTGAGAAGTAGGACCACTGATGGAATGAGTGGGAATGCTGCAATAGCTATGACCGTTTCAGTGAAGAGCTCACCTGTGAGGAAGGTAATGGATGACACCTCAAAACTCAAATGCTATGCAACTAATTCCAGGACCTTGAGAAGTAGGACGACCAATGGAATGGGTGGGAAGGGTGAAATAGCAATGACCGTTTCAGTGAAGAGCTCACCTATGAAGGTCCGGTTTACTTTGACTTTTTATATATGGACTTGCTTGCTTTAGTGCACTATTTCTTTGCTTGTCTGTCAATGGTTCCGTTTGTTTGACCTGATTCTTTTCAGGGAAACAGTTGGTGCCTTTTCCCATATTTGAGTTTATTTCTTAGCAAATTTGCTGAATGAAACAATCCTTTTCTGGAATCAATTGCATTTCTTTGTTTTTGTTTGTAAAAAGGGTATTATATTGTGTTTAAAAGGCAAAGCATAGAACAAGTTTTCGAACTGGTTAAAATATTACACATCAAAGTAGAGAACAAAATTTTGAAGGAAAAACATTGTTTTTTTAAAAAATATGTTGGCTTCAAAAAAGTTTTTTAAACAGTATTATGTGATACATGGGGAATTTATCTTGCTTGTATGGTACCCATGTGAATATAAAATGCAAACACTTGCCATTGATAAAAAAAATTATGCTCTAATATCTGATTAAAGTTGAACTTTGTACAGAAAAGTGGGAACTCGAAGAGGAAGGTAATGGATGACACCACAGAACTCAAACGCTACTCAACTAGGTCCAGGACCTTGAGAAGTAGGACCACTGACAGAATGAATGGGAAGGGTGAAATAGATACGACTGCTTTAGTGAATAGCTCACCTGGGAAGGTCCAGTTTACTTTAACTCTTTTCTGTATGGACGTGCTTGCTTTAGTGCACTATATCTTTGCTTCTGTCAATGGCTCCATTTGTTTGACCTGAAATGTTTTTCAAGGAAACCCTTGCTTCCTTTTACCATATTTGAGGTTATTTCTTAGCAAATGAGTTGAATCTAACAGTCATTATCTTGAATCAATTGTATTTCTTTGATTTTGTTCGTAAAAGGGGTATCTTATCGTGTCTTAAACAAATGGAGCCTTTAAAGTCTTTTTTATGGTGTTACATGATATTTTTTGGCTTTCTCTTGCTTGCATGGTAAGCTATGATAATATAAAAACAATCTCTTTCTATGTCTTTCAAAATTATATTCTATTAACTGACTATATTTGAACTTTGTCCAGGGACATAGGAACTTGAAGAGGAAGCAAATGGATGACACTCCATCTATGCCCGTTCTAACAATTCCATTGAAAACCTCACCAGCGTCAGTCAAGGTCCGATTCATGTGCACTGAGCTTTTTCATTCTTTCATGCAATGAACTTTTTCAATCAATTTATTTTTCTATTATACTTCATAGTGACATTCTATCGCGTATATGGTACATTGGTACCACTACATTAAAATAGAATATTTAGCTATATCTTTAAGAATTATATTCATATAACTGATATAAAATTGAACTTTGTCCAGAGAAATGGGAACTTGAAGAGAAACCAAATGGATGACTCCCCAAGACTGTTTACATCTTCGTTCCAAATACCCAAGTTGAAGATCTCTTCACCTCAGGTTGCATAACAAGTTGACATTATCAGTTTTGCTTCTTCTGTATCAGTATGAAAAACTGTAGAAATTGGGGGGCATGTATCTCTGTGCCTTCCATAGCTTCAGCTTTTGTGTGGTAGGATTAGATATTCAGAACAGAGTAGTACACAGTGCAATATGGATTATGGAGATGATATTTTCACATTAATTGTTTAATGTCATGTCTTCTGTGCACACTTCTATATATATATGTCAAATAACTTGTCACAACTAACGACTACTATTCGAAGAACAATCTAATTCTATTTTGATTTCTAATCTTATGCATCACATTTTTTGTTGTAACCAAATCTACAATTTATATGACTCAATACTACGTATAACTTTATATTTTCTAAATATGTAAAATTTGACTCTTAATATTATGTATGGAGAAAATTGTCTAAATCAAGTATGTGTATGATGCTTTCTCTATATGATCTTTCACTTGGACTTATTCCAGACTTGATTAGATTCAAACAGACGCTAACAAGATTTAAATAGATATACATTTAGAAATTGTTGTCTAAATGAAAGCATCTTTAATTTTCTTTTTTAAAATTATTATGGTCATATATTGCCAAATATGTGTATACTTTGCAAAACTATATGGCGAACGAGCAAATCATGAAAGAAACATGGATAGAAGTAAAAAAAAAAAAAAAAAAAAAAGTGTGGCACCAACTTTATTTCCTCTCCTTGGGCAGAATAACATCCCTCATTCCCTCTCAATTGCTTCTCATTTCTCTCCCACAAAACAATATACAAAACACAACGTGCATCTTCTATTTCCCTCTTCACAACCAAACAAACCAGACTGAACTTAATAATCTATACAATGGACCATAACAAAAACAAAAGAAGAAGAACAAAGAAAATCTCTTTGTAATGGGCCAAAACAAGAAGCAGGATGAGGAGCAACCCCAAACCCCAAGGGGAACTGGAACTGCTGTTATTCGTCGTCTCGGACTGGTACAACGGCCTGGAAAACCAGCGGCTGTTGACGATGTTCACGTGGACATAGAGGAACAAAAGGAAGATGAGCAAGTAATGGACTAAGGTGATGCCCCCGCCGCTCCCGCCGATGTCATCGCTAGGCCGTTTTTCCTCGTTGTTTCGCAAGAACATGAAAAAGAAGAGCGCGCCTGCGAAAATCATCAAAGGGAAAGGGGGTGATGAAGCCATTGAATCCATGGTTTGGTCTCTCCAGCTGAATCCTCCTCTTTCCTTTCTCATTTCCATTTCTATGGTATCTCTCTCTATAGTCTCTTTCTATATGTTTGTGTAACTATGTTTATGGGAACTAAGCTTAGAATTCCTGGATAGATATTATAGTGAATTACATCGGGGTGATCTACTTTATATATAGATTATTATAGTTGATTGAATTATTTTGGAACCGCCATTACTTTCCGCCTTTTCTGGTATTTTATATCATTTTATAGACGAGGTGATTCATGTATAGATGAGGATTAAGGAGCCAGAAAAGAGGGGGCTTTCGTTCATATCTTCTTCTAAAACTTCTTTAATGTTCTAGCATTTTGTAGTGTTTGATGTGTCGTAATTTGCTACTAGTAGTAACTATTTATAGCTTTTGGCGGGGAGCCTAAAAAATAAAAAATTGAAGGGTATTGACTTTGACCAAGATTATTATTGTCTTATCGATCTCCTATAAGGTAGATTCTATGGTATCCATAAGGACATCCACATTGTTGAGATTATTTAGAGTTTAATTGGATGATGTGTAAGATTATTTTAAAGATTATCATTGTGAGTGAGGGATTATTTAGAGAGATTATTGAAAAAGATAATCCGGTATCAAGATTTGAATCCCGAATTATTTTAGGTTGTAGTTAAATTTCATTTAATGCATGGTCTAGAAAAATTAAATTATTTGATTATCATGGTTGATGGAGAGTTTTAAGATTTGAGATTATTTAAAATTTATTTAATAAATATGATGTGTCAATGATGTGTCATAGAAAAACCATTTATTTTAAGATCATGAATGGAGATGCTCTAAGGTACCATGCCTTTTTCCACATGGACCAATCACAATGTTGCACTTGAATTATTTAAGTCTAAATTAAAAATGATATACCTATTTGGACCAATCAAGTGAATGGTAGGTACGGTACCCCCATTTTTTAAATGGTAAACGGAGTTCTCACCCTCCTATAATTGTTATACAAATAGAATCGAAACGGGTGAGACAATTACCTGATATGTTCGAGAATCGGGATGATAATATCTCCTTGATTAAATATTGGAAAATTTTAGAATAGTAATCCCACCTTTGACCGGTTTTCTCATAATAATCTCACATTTACTTAATCCAATAATAATATCACATTTACATTTAATCTTCTTTTGTTGGACGCTCACCAAATAGGGACCTACTATATCAGGGGGTTTTGTAGGTCACCAACCGATCATAATCCCATAAAAAATGCAAAAACCCGGCCTGTTATAATATGACACCAACCGATCAGAGTCCAATGAAAGAAGATGATGTACAAAGTTGAGATTATTCTTGTCAATTTTTTCTTAAATATTTTACTTTTAATACTAATAAATTGCACGCCTCTAGCTAGCAAGATCGACAACAATGTTTTAAAACTCGGACCGGATGGGTCAGCTCCGAAATAGACCCGACACCTAATCCGGTGTGATTGTTCATTAACCTGCTAATTTAGTGAATCCTGCATGACCCAAATTGAACCTGTGAACACAAAATAATGTGATTGAAGACAAATCGAGATTATAACTAAAACCCATCATCTTTTGGATTGGATCTTGGGTCTTCAGCATGAAATTTTGAGCGCCAACTTAAGTTATATTTTTATTCATCATTTTTATTAGGAAAAAGGGTCAAATACACCCTTTAACTATCACCAAACCATCACATAGACCCATGTACTAATAAAAACATCACTTAAGCACATTAACTTAGTAAAATCAATCAATTTGGCCCAATTTACCGGGAAGCAACCTTCTCAACCAGTTAAAGTTAGATTTAGAGCCCGTTTGGAGAACTCTGTTTTCGGCTTATCAGGCTTATCAGCCAGCTTTTTCACCAAACACGTAACTTTTACTTTCGCGCGCTGAATTGTGTAATAAGCCGAAAAAGTAAGGTTGGAGTTACTTTTCTGGCTGTATTGGCTGAAGTTACTGTAGATGACCATTTTAGCTATTTTTACATATAATTTTTTCTTTAATTTATTAATAAAATATATTTTTAAAATATTTTTTTTTAAATCAGCAGAATCAGCCAAAACAGCCACTCCAGCCAGAATATCATAAATTTCAGCAGAATCAGCCAAAACAGCCGATTTTGGTGCTACCAAACGGGCTCTTAACTTTTTTTTCTTTTTCCATTCCGTTTCTTCCTTTACGTAGTATATACTCCTAGCCAACTACCCTGCTGCCACCCAACAACTCTGCATTGCCAAGCCCTGCAAAACTGCCACTTACCCATTCTTTGTCCCGTCCATAGACCTCTCCAAACCGGCAGCCGCCAAACACCTCCTCGTAAAAGCCCGCGAGGAGTTTGGGTTCTTTAAGCTGGTCATCCATGGAGTTCCCGCGGAATTCATAACCAGGCTTGAAGCTGAAGCCATCAAGTTCTTCTCCTCCTCATCTTCTCAGAAAGAAAAAACATGGCCGCCTGACCCCTTAGGATATACTAGTACTACGTATATAGCCATATAGGAATAAGAAGGTTGGAGTAATTGGCGATATTGGGTGCTTAGAATAATATACGTAGTATATTCGTATATATGTATATACTTTTTATATATTATACAGTGTTTTAAATAGCTGTAGCGGCAGCTACAAGAAACTAATAATTCCTTCCAACAATAAAAAATGAATATAGGGGTTTCGCACAAGAACTTATATGAACGATTGGATGGAACTTGGTGATGAATTTACTGAATAGCAATGTAAAATAAGCTCTAATGATCGTAATGAAGTAAAGAACAAAGGTATCTTTTTATGCAATATCCGAATGCCCACTATGTTTACAACTTGTTCTCGTTAAATAAGGCTTCTTCGTGCCTATCTCCAGCCAACTGCCCACCGAAATAGGTGGAGCCATCTTTTGAACGTTGCTGACCTTTTCTTCTCCTCCAAGCCTCGGTTCCTCCCTGGACTACTTTGCCGAGTTGGACTCCTATTCTTTCTTGGGCTTCACTATTAATCTTTCTTGAATTGGACCAGCAAGTTCGGGCAAATCTACTGGCCCAACAATTGCCCCCAATTCGGAGGAACAGTTGTCTATAGTCTGCAAATGGACTGGCAACTTTTCCCTTCGAATTAATACCCTTTGGACTTCGTGAAGACTCCTACTCGAATACTCAACCGTTGCAGCCTTCTTTACACCGGTCGCTTCGTCCTTTATTTCGAAAACTCTCCATCTCTCGCACGATCCTCCATCTCCTTCGCTTCCTCCTCTTCCATGGCCTCTCATGTGTTTGTTCCTCAAGATATTTTGGAACCGAAGAGCTCCAAGCAGGCACGCCTCACAGATGCTCATGTGGAAACCATCCAATCTTCAGCTGGGTTTCCTCCTGAAGCAATTATCCGCTTCCCGGCAGCGAACGAGAGATTGGATTGGTTCTGCCCTGGATGGGTAAACTTTTTGTTCTACCCATTCAAAATTGGAATGAGGTTCCCATTCTCTCCCCTAACTCGAGGCTTCTTGGAGTTTGTCAAGATTTCCCCCTCCCAAATCATGCCGCAGGTGTGGAGGATTTTAAGGGCACTGGAAGTGTTGAGTGAAAAGTACAGCATTCCTTTTGACTTTGAGGACCTCGGATTTACATATGAGCTTCGCACATCCGGACCTGGCCGCTTTACCCTAGCACTGAAGGACAGGAAAGCAAGGCTCATTCACAAAGTAGACAAGGCGAATGATAGAGGATGGATGAGCTGGTATTTCTTTGTTCTCAAAAATTCACTTGGGCATGAAGGAGTGTTCCTCGAAGATGACCTTCACAAAGGTAATCATCAAATTCATATATTCATCTCTTCTATTTCTGCTTTACTCTTTAGCCTCTAGCTCTTGAATGTATCTATCATTCATATACGTCATATGAACAATTAGCAGATTATGATTATTTGTCATTCCGTCTGTTTTCCAGAAAAGAAAACTATTCCCCTTCCCCATGGGCCAACAGCCGAAGAGAGGACAGCCCGCATCCAAGCTATCCCTGTGGAAGAGCGTTG